GCCACCATGCCCGGCTAATTTTTTCTATATATTTTTTAGTTATCCAATTAATTTCTTTCTATTTTTAGTAGAGACGGGGTCTGGCTCTTGCTCAGGCTGGTCTTGAACTCCCGAGCTCAAACAATCCGCCCACCTCGGCCTCCCAGAGTGCTAGGATTATAGGCATGAGCCACCGCGCCCAGCCTAGAAGCTTATTTTTAAAGACTGAGCTGGTGATATATGACTGCTTTCATAATATTTTTTATTGACCTCTCTTCAAGTTCACTGATTTCTTTCCACGGCTTGTCTAGTCTGCTAAGTCAATTAGAAGAATTCTTTGTTGACACATTGTTTTTTGTTTCTAGCATTTTTATTTGATCTTTTTTTTATATTTCCTATTTCTCTACTGATATTCCCCATTGGTTCATGCATTTTGTCCATCTTTTCCATAGATCCTTTAACATGTTAATCACAGTTTATGATAATTCCAATATCTGGGCCTGGTTCTATTGACTGCTTTCTCCATGATGAGTTCTTTTTCTTGCTCTTTTTGTGTCCTGAAATTTTTGATCAAATACTGGACATTGTGAGTAAAGAGCAGTGGATATTGAGTTAATAGTATTTATGACTAGAAATAGGCATGCCTCATCTATCTGGTCATTCACTGGTCAGATCTTGTGCTTCCAGTTGTCTTTGTATGCTGCATGTGCCACAGAAGCTTTTACTCCTGCCCAAGTTATAGACTGCTATTGCTTGTTATTCAGTGCCAGGTTTATGGCGAGGGCAGAGGGGTATTTGCTAACTTGACCTGGCTTCAGTCTTAGGCAGACCTATAAGTCTGGACCTCAGGGATATGGTTTTTTCAACATTTTTACCCCTCCTACCATAACAGCCAAATTCTGCCATGTATATGTATATGGTTTTGAATGGGAACAAATTTCCAGCTCCATCCTCAGAACATGTGCTTTGTGTTGGTACAGGATTTCCTGCTCCTCCTTTAGTGGCTTTTTTAGTGATTGCTTTAGTGTGTATAATATGAATCTTTAAATTATCAAAAATAATATGTCATTTCATGTATCTTGTAAAAAACTTACAATAATATTTTCATTTTCTCCTTCTACTCTGTGTGCTATTATTGTTATACATTTCACTTTTACGTATTATAAACCCCATAATACAGGATTCCTATTTTCACTTTATACCAGAGGTTAGCAAACTTTATGTAATCAGGAGATATCAACAGTAAATATTTTAGACTTTAAAGGCCATAAGGTCTCTGTCACAACTACTCGGCTCTACTGTTGTAGCACAGAAGCAGCTATAGATAGTACATAAACCATTGAGCACAACTGTGTTCCAGTACAACTTAATATAAAAACAGATGGTGGCCTGGATTTGGCCTGTACCTCATGGCTTGTTATCCTTCACTTTAGACAGTCAATTATCTTTAAAAAACCAAACAAAACAAACTTTATTGAGATATAATTCTCATATACAGTTTACCCATTTAAAATATACAATTCAGTGGCTTTTAGTATATTCAACAGAGTTGTAAAATCATATTTCTTTTTTTTTTTTGAGACAGGGTCTCACTGTTGCCCTGGGTAGAGTGCAGTAGCATCATCACAGCTCACTGAAGCCTCAAACTCCTGGGCTCAAGCGATCCTCCTACCTCAGCCTCCCATCTTCCTGCCTCAGCCTCCTGAATAGCTGGGACTATAGGCAAGTGCCACGATGGCTGGCTAGTTTTTCTGTTTTTAGTAGAGACGGGTCTCGCTCTTGCTCAGGCTGGTCTCAAACTCCTGAGCTCAAGCAATCCTCCTGCCTCGACCTCCCAGAGTGCTAGGATTGCAGGCGTGAGCCACCGTGCCCGGTGTATATATTTCTGTAAAGTCAGTAGTAATGTCCCTTTTTCATTCCTGATTTTAGTAATTTGAGTTTTTTCTCTTTTCTTGTTCAGTTGCCAATTTTATTGATTTTTTCAAAGAACAAACTTTTGGTTTTGTTGATTTTTTTCCTATTGTTTTTCTATTCTCAGTTATCTTTAAAAGGTATTAAAGGTAAGAATAATTAATTTTTATATCTACCCACATATTTATCATTTTTAGCATTCTTTGTTTCTTTTTACAGATACAAGTTTTCCTGTGGTATTATTCCTATTTGAAGAACTTCTTTATTATTTCATTTAACTCAGGTCTGGCAATGGATTCCCTCAGCTTTGTCTGAAAAAAGTCTTTATTTTGCCTTCATTTTTGAAACGTATTTTGCTCAATTTGCAATTGTGGGTTGACGGTATTTTCTTTTCTTTCAATAAGATATTACTCCGTTGCATTCTGGCTTGGATAGTTCTGATGAAAAAGTATTCTATACATCTTATCTTTGTTTTTTTAATCTAATTTTTCTTTTTTTTTTTCCTTTGGGTTTTCCAGGAATTCTCTCTTTTTCTTTCGTGTTTAGCAATTTGTGATATGTGTAGGGTTTTATCCCTATGTGGGATTCATTAAGCTCATTCAATCTGTGATTAGTTTTCTTTCATGAATTTTGGGAAATTCTCAAACATTTTCCCTTGAAATACTTTTTCTACCCCATTCTTTCTTCTCCACTCCTGAGATTCCAAATGCATGTGTTTTAGTCGGTTTGATGTCCTCTGACAGGTTTTAGTTGCTCTGTTCTTTTTGTTTGTTTTCACTCCTTTTCCTCTTTGTGTTTTTCTTTTGACCTGATTGTCTAGTCTGCTCAGAAGCTCACGATTGTTAGTCTTTATCTTTAATATTATAATTTTTAAAAATTATTTCCTTTATAGTTTCTGTTTCTGTGGAAATTTCCTATTCATGAATTTTTTTTTTACTTCTTACCATATCCTTTAACATATTAATCATATTTGTTTTAAAGTCCCTATCTGATTGTTCCAACATCTGAGTTATTTCTGGTTCTGATTCTGTTGACTGCCTTAGCTCTTGACAGTGAGTCTCTTTTTTTTTCCTTCTTGATCTTGTTATATGTCTTGTAAATATCAAGTGTTGGATATTGTATTTAAAAGCATAATAGAGACTGAACTAATGGTGTATATGTCCAGAAATGGGCACACCTATCTTTCTGTCTGGCCATTAGTGTGGGAGGTTTTAAATTTATGTGTTCAATAGTTGAACTGGGGCCAGGCCCACTGGCTCATTCCTATAATCCTAGCACTTTGGGAGGCTGAGGAAGCAGGATTGTTTGAGGCCAGGAGTTTGAGACCAGCCTGAGGAATAGTGAGACCCCATCTCTACAAAAAAATTTTAAAAATTAGCTGGATGTGGTGGAATGCACCGGTAGTCCTGGCTACTTGGAAGGCTGAGGCAGGAGAATTGCTTGAGCCCATGAGTTCGAGACTGCAGTGGGCTGTGATTGAGCCATTGCACTCTAGCGTGGGCAGCAGAGTGAGACCCTGTTTCAAAAAAAAAAAAAAAAGTTGAACTGGGTTTTGTGTTTTGTTGTTGCTAGTTAATTTCAACAAGCTACAAACTTCAGATTTTTCCAGTGGTTCCCACTCCCTTGTGATAGGTGTGGAATTTGGAGTGCTGGAGGACTTTTTCAGGGTTCCTGCTCCACTCTTGGCTTTCAGCAAGTCCTGCATATCTCTCCTTGTGCTCTCACTGGTAGATTGCTGTTGCCTATTCTTTATTCAGGACTTGGTAGGGGTGAGGTGGTACAGGGGGAGTATGAATGTCCTGCACCTTCCCTCTCTTTGCCTGTCCCCACCATCTGAGCCTGGTGTCAAAAGGGAGAAGCAGGACACCCAACAATATCAGACCTTTGCTTTGTATCACTGTAAGATCCTGGGCCGACGTAGTTTTCAGCCTTGCCCCCAGTTCCAGATGGCTGTTTTTTTCTACCTTTCTTTCAGTGGCAGCTGACTTTACAAATGACCAAAGGGTGGGCAGATTCCTACCTTTTGGCCAACAGCAGATGGCTTCGTTTCTATCCCTCTCGGCAGCAGGTGGGCTTTTCTTTGTGCAGGGGGTGCGAGGGTTTCCTTTTTAGATGTTTAAAAATTATTCTTGGAATCTTTCTACATATTATATTTAAATGTTGTCTTTCTAGAAGGTTAATTTCTGGTGAACAGAGGCTGAATCTTAGATTTTTAGAGGATGCCTACTATTTGGTTTTTATTACAATATGCCCATGTGTTTGTTCTTTTCCAGCTTAGGCTTGATTTCCGACTCTTTCCACATGTTTTTCGATAGCACTGCCATTTTGGCTGGATTGGCAGCTTCTGTTATTTCAAAATGGAGAGATAATGATGCTTTCTCTTATGGGTAAGACTTTTTAAAAATCTTTTTATTGAAGTATAAGATACACAGAAAAATACGCTACTCTTAAACTCAGTGACTTTTTGTAAATTGAACACGCTTGTGTAACTTGAACCTTTGAAACCCCCCTCATGCCGCTTCTGGTTCCTTCCCACCCACCTCCCTCACAGTAACCACTGTCATAGCTTCATGGATTAGTTTTGCCTGTTTTCCAACAGCATGTAAGTGGAATCTACAATATGTACTTTTATTTGCATCTAAGTTCTTTCCTTAGTGTTCACGGCATCTCGATTTTACCAAAAAAATTTAGTTGAGATTGTTATCATATAGGTGAATTTCTCAACTCTTAACCTCGTTTTTTTTTTTTTGAAGAATAAAAAATTCCTGTGTATAAAAATGATAATGTTTCTTTCTTTTCTTCTTTTTCTTTTTGAAAGTATACTTTGCTGTTAATTTATTTAAAATCATATCCTAATATGGTTTTATATACTTATCCTCTTTAGCTCTACTTTTATGTAAAATACTTCTCATGCTTTTGCTGATTTGGACAACTAATCAAATATTTGGAGAGTATCTTTATATGAGGGGACTATATTGAATCATCTTAGAGGCAGAATTTGCCTTTTGCCATTTCTGATTGGGAAAAGCAATGGATTTTCCATGATTTTATTACGCTGCCTGAGTGTTTCCTTTGGAGCTCATGGAATATTTTTCAGTGTAATTATTTTTATGTATAAGTAGATCTCAGGACTAATATCCTCTTTCTCTCTCTTCCCCACCGCTTTTTCCTTCCTATTCCCTCTTCTGCTTTCTTGTTGATTATTTCCCTTCGTCTTTCCCCCCCTTTTCCCTGTGAATAGTCTTCCACATTCTCTTCCTTCTTCATCTGTCTTTCCTATTTTCTCTCTGTCTTATTCTCATACTCATACTCATTCTCTCTCTCATCCTCTCCTAAGCACCCCCACACCTTTCTTCTCTTATTCTTTCTTTTCCCCTGCTCTTTTCCTCTACTGTTTAAGTCTTTACCTCTGAGACTCTTTCTTACTCTCCTTCTCATAAGCTCTTCAGCTTTATTTCTTTTTCCTCTTCCTAAGTCTTTCTTTCGTTCTTTCACGATTCTGCTGCTCTGCGCCGTCCCTTTCCTGTGCAGTTTCTCTCATTGTCTCCCTCTCCTGTTCACACGCATCCTCCTGCATGCACTGTCTCTTAATGCCCCTGGATCTCTCTTTTACTCTTGTTCCTTGACTGCTTCCTCTTTCTCTCCACCTTTGCTTCTGTTCTTTAGCAAGCACATAGTTTTTCTTTCACATACTCTTATCCTCTTCAGGTATTTATTCAGGGCCCACTATAAGTTGAATACTTTTCTAAGTCTAATACTATAAAGATGACTAAGACATGACTCCTGCCGTGGAGGAACTTGTGGCCTGATGGGGAAACACTTTTGTAAAAATACGATAATAGCCCTATGTAATGTGACAGGTGCTAAAGGGGAGATATGAGATTCTATGGCAGAACTTGCTGATTTTATTTATAACCAAAATGATATGGTTATTTATAAAATTATGAAATGGGACAAAAATACTAATTATACTATTTTTATAGTTTAGAGCAATAAATTCTATATATCTATAAATTCAAATTGCTTGACAGCTCCAATAAGAACATTTTCTATGGCATTATATTAGTGATATTCAAATAATCTTGAACAATAACTACTGAAAGATTATATTTTAAATCATTAAAGAAAGATTATATCTGAAGTTATAATTTTTGTTGGAAAATTAGTAATTCATGTATATTATATATCAGAAATGTAATTAGAATATCTTATTCAACAATCTTTCTGGATAAACAGTGAGTGGCTTAAAAATTCTCAGCTTTTTAATGCTTAGGTATCTATTGTTTTCCATTTAGAATGCATTGTCTGTTGCTATAAGATGGTTTTTAGGAATACCTATGAATACCTTCAGTGCCATGGCGGATTTTAATATTCAGCTCGTGGATATAAGAGAGTATTATTCTTGCCACTTTTTTATTTCTTAATCTGTCTTCTCTTTATGTGTTTTCTTGTTTCTTTTGGGAAAGATTAAAGAATAAAAGTTAGCGTAATAGTTGAAACTATGAATAATTACTATAGTAGTAAGTAGCAGCAGTAGTAAACTACTGGTGTTAGTACATCAAAATGACACTGATTAATTCATGTTAAGTCTAGGGATGGATTCCCATAAGCCCCCAATTCCGGATGATCATAATAGCAGGCTGAGTCTGCAGTAAAAGAAATAGTAGGGGAATCTGAGAGCAAAGACTTTTCATTATTTCTTTATCTAAAAGTCATCTTTTTGTTTTAGCACATTCTTATTTTTGTAATAGCAAAGCCAGCATAAAAATAATATACATCCAATGGGTAGATAAATACTTACATACATGTTTATATTCATAGGTACATATATTTGAATCTTGAATCGTGTGTGTGTGTGTGTGTGTGTGTGTGTGTGTGTGTGTGTGTGTGTGTGTGTTCTGGCCGAAGAATCCAAACACTAACTATACTTAACTAGGCAGTAGTACATTCATGAATTAAATGTTCTGTTTAATAATTCCAAGATGCACTCTATTTGTTCAAGTAAACATAGTCATTTGTAAAGGCAAGTGTGTCTAGTTTTCACTTTAAACCTGCATCCAAGCTTAGCAAATATATTAAAGCCAATTGAATCACTTGAGTCCAACAATTTATCAGAATTTTGTGGAGCATACCTACTAAGCGAGGAATTAGAAACAAAAGGGTGCCTGATAAACCTTCTTGTCTTTGATCTTGAAATCTAGTGGAACTTAAGCACAAAAGGCTTTCAATCAAGCATTAGCTATGAGACTGGAAAGGTGGGTTAAAAGGAAATGCTTTTTATTTTTTGGACAGTAACCTTGCTGATTTATTGGTTAACTGCTAAGTGTAGGTTATGGGAAGCTGGCTGCAAATTATTTGAATTTAATGAGCTTTTCCCCAGGAAAAGAAAATATGCTGTGAGAAATAATAATTTATTTGTATGTGTTAGAAGGTAGAGAGTTAGAAATATGCGTTATTTTTGAGTATAGAAATACATGCTATGTTGGAATGTACCTGACAGGACAAACTCCAGCATAAGTGGGTAGAGTACATTTTAAAAAGTTCTCCTTACTTTAAAACCAGTTTTACAGTAAAAATTGTATTATTTAGAAGTTAACAATACAAAGCTAGGAAAAGCAGTAGTTTTGATGCTTCCATTATGTTGTTGAAGGATCAGAGGGATTAACTGCTGTCAGCACCCTTTGAATAATGTTTCAACATGTAAAAATGCTAAGTTAAAGTTGTTTCTGATGACTTTAACTAAGCCAAATATACCTTATGGAAAAATAAAATCTTTCCCCAATGCTTCACACAGGTAGGAAGCAGAAAGCTTCAGAAATTCATGGAGCAAAAGACAGGTATTTTAAAAATAGTTTAATTAGAATATGTGAAGCTAGAATTGATTCTAAAAATAGGTAATTGAAAGTTTATTCTAAATTTATTAATCTTAGAATAAGTGTTAGAAATATAAATCTCAAGTTGTTTCTGGGATAATTGAGAAATAATTTTATTTTCTTTCAGATCAAAGCTCCACTTTTCCAAATTTGAAAGCTGGAAGGTACAAAGCAGAAAGCATAAGGAGTTCTTAGAAAAGGAGGAATGAATAAGTTCTAAAAACCCCTTTCACCAGACCTGTTCTACTTTTTATCTTTGGATCCTTCCTTCTTTGTCCACTTGTCTGGTCCTGTTCTTCCTTTTCCAGTGGCAACTTGAGATTTAAATTTCTGTAAAAGGTCTTTCTAAACCTGTTTACTCTAAGAAGGTCTTTTGATTGGCTTCTAGAAATCTATGTGTTTTGTGGCATTCTGCTATTAAAAATAATTCATAATAAATTTATTTCCTCATTCATTTCTATAATATTTGTAAAATAAAATGTACTATACTATAAATACTAGGACTTTGCTGGCTACTTACAACCATATAATGTGGTTTAGAATCTCTGAACATACGTAAATTTATGATTTAGTTTTTAAGAAATAATAATTCTGTTGTTTATTTTGCTCCTCTTTAGGTATGTTAGAGCGGAAGTTCTGGCTGGCTTTGTCAATGGCTTATTTTTGATCTTCACTGCTTTTTTTATTTTCTCAGAAGGAGTTGAGGTATAGTAGATAATGTTTAGACTCAGTAAATTACATTTTTATAATGACAGTATTTCTTAATTAAAGATACATGTAATGGAGCTGTTTTCAACTATCATTAAGTATTTATTGAGGACAGTCTTGGATTTGATAAGATATTATGTGTGTATAAGAGGAGCTTACAAAATAGTTGAAAAAATTAAATATATGTGAAACTTCTTGGAATTAAAAGAGGGTACTTTATAAGCTATGCATGAAGTGTTAACACTATGAAAAATAAAGGTGCAATCTGGATAGTGAGGTTATTTGGTACGTGTTCTTGACAGGAAAATAGAACCTGAGAGTTTTGCCAATGAATCTTTAATATTTGGTATTTTTTTTAAAAAAGGAAGAAAATTTAAAGGTTAATGAACTTAAAATGAAAGGCAGTATTTTAAGATACCAAAGAGGAACAGGTTTTGGACCAAATAGTCACACTTTTAAATGTCTATATTTATTTAAAAGTAGCAATTATTACTTTTTCTACAGTTTGCAAGCACTGGTTTTATTTCTATAAACTGTTTTGGCAGATTCTTTTTGAGTGCTTTTAATTCTGAAAATAACAAAATGTTTAATATTGCCTTATGTTTTTGCCAAATGACTAATCAGAAATTAAATCAATGCTATTTGTTTGTATTATGTGTTTTCTAGAGAGCATTAGCCCCGCCAGATGTGCACCATGAGAGACTACTACTTGTTTCCATTCTTGGGTTTGTGGTAAACCTAATAGGAATATTTGTTTTCAAGCATGGAGGTCACGGACATTCTCATGGCTCTGGTATGATGGTTAGAATCCTTTGTTTCTTCATTTTCTACCAGATTTCTGTCATAATTATTTACTTTAGAAAATTGTTACTTTTTAAACTTAAACTATATATTGATCTTTAGTAACAAAAGTAATATGTCAGTAGACTCCTATTAATATCTTCCTGAAGCATCCCTCCCACTTCTCCATGCCCCTCCATCTCAGTGCCTTCCCAAAGCTGTGCATATTATCAGTTTGGTGTGGATCCCTCCAGACCTCTGTAGCTCATCCATGCAGTATGGTACCATTTATATAAAACAAACAAATAAATATTAGAAAACCACAAAACAAATCTAGTTATTAGAAAATTTTATCTGTATGTGTATGAAATTTACTATATAATTATATACATCATGTAATGTCTTTGACATCCTTCCATTTAGTATGCATTAGTCTACCTTGCCTTGTTAATGGCCACATAAAACTCTATGGTGTGGGTAACTGTGGTTTATTTAACCAACGTTCTATGGATAGATCTCAAGTTGTTTCCATTTTTTCACTAATTCATATAAGGCCCATCCTTGTGAACATATGCAAATGTTTTTCCACAGCTGTCCTATATGGTATGTATTAGTCACATATGATGATTTAAATTAAATTTTTGTTAATTAGAATTAAATAAAATTAAAAATTCAGTTTCTCACTCACTTTAGTGACATTTCAAATGCTCAGTAGCCACATGGGGCTATTGTATGAGACAGTACAGGTATAGAACATTTCCATCTTCACAGAAAGTTCTTTGAATTGCATTGTACTAGAATATAAGTAGAATTGCTGGAATATAGTATATATACATTTTTAGTTTCTATAGGCTTTTGCAAATTGCCCTGCAGAATGACTATCATTCTCATTTATCCCAGGAATCAGTGCAAGCACTAATTTCCTCCCACTCACATCAACACTTAATATTGTGGGTGTAAAACAGTTTTGCTAATAATTTGACAAAAATGGTGTCTCATTTTATTTGGTAGCTGATTAGTCATGAAGTTGAACATCTTTGTGGTATGTTTTTAGGCCATTCTGGTTTTTTCTCTCGTAGAATTACCTCTTCATATTTTTTCCTGTTTTTCTGTTATCCTATTTATAATCATTTTAAATACATTTTATAATATAATCCTTTGTTTTATGTTTCGCAAATATCTTTTCCTAGTCTGTGGCTTGTCTTTGTACTTTTATATAATACAGGGGTTTTTTAGTTTGCATATTCTGGTTTTTCTGTCTTTTTGTCCTATACTTTTTCTGGTATATTTTTTGCTTTGTTTAAGCAATTTCCTATTCCAGGGTCATAAACATAATCTCTTATATTTTACTGCTTTTAAAGTTTTGGTTTGACAATTTTTTTCCACCCATTTTGGTCTTTCATCTTTATGTAATTTATTTTTGCAGTGGGATGAATTAGGGCCTAACGTGTTTTTCCCTCAGTATGAATGAGCAATTTGCTAATCACTATTTATTAATCTGTCCTTTATTTTCTTAAAGGTTGCCCTGGGGATTATAAGTAGGATCTTAAAACAATCTAGTTTTTATTAATAGTAATTTAATTCAATAATATACAAAAACTTTGCCCAATGTACTGCTGTTCCCTTCTGCCTCCTTTGCATTGATATTAATAGTATCAAATTACATGCTTATTCAAGCCTACCAACATAGCTTTATAATTATTGATTTATGCAATTGTCTTTTAAAACAGAAGAAAAGAGTTACAAATAAAAGTGTGTATATCCTTTCTTTCATAATACCTATGTAGTTACCTTTACCAGTGTTCTTTTTTTCTTTGTATGGATTTGAATTACTATTTAGTGTCCTTTCATTTTGACCAGAAAGACTTTAATATTTTTAGAGGGCAGATTTTTGTTAATCTGGAAATATCTCAATTTTTCCTTTATTTTAAAGGAAATTTATTTTAAAATATATTTTAAAGGATAGTTTAGTTGGATATAGAATTCTTGACTGAGTCTTTTTTTCCAGCATTTTGCTATCATCCCACTGTCTTTTGGCCTCTGTGGTTTCTGTCGAGAAGTTAGGTGTTAATCTTGTTGAAGTTCCCTTGCTCATAAATTATTTTTCTGGGGTGCACAACTTTTAAGATTTTCTGTTTGTGTTTGACTTTCATCAACTTGATTATGATGTCTCTAGGTATGGTTTTGCTTGAGTTTATTCTACTTGGAGTTTGATGAGTTTCTTGAGTGGTAGACTAATATTTTCCATCAAATTTGGTTAGTTTCCAGCCATTATTTCTTCAGATATTTTTTCTGCCTCTTTCTCTTCTCTTTCTGAGACTCCTGGTATGCTTAATTTGATACATTTGATGTTTCCACAGGTCTCTGAGACTCTGTTCATTTTCCTTCATTTCTTTCCTTTCTGCTCCTCAGAATAGACAATCTTTATTGACCTGTCTTCAAATTTGCTATTATTATAGCTCAGCTCTCTTGTTGAGCCCTTCTAGTGAATGTTTTATTTCAGTTATTATGCTTTTAACTCCAGAATTTGTTTGGTTTTAAAAATTAATATCTATCTCTTTACTGATATTCTCTATTTGGTGACTCGTTGTAATATTTTCATTCTTTAGATATGGTTTCCTTTAGTTGTTTGGACATACTTTTTATAGCTGATTTAAAGTCTTTCTTTACTAAATTCAAAATCTGGGTCTCTTCAGAGACATTTTCTGTTAGCTGCTTTTTTCTTTTTACTTGGCCTACTTTGCTGTTTCTTTGTGTGTCTTATAATTTTTTGATAAAAACTAGACAGTTTAGATTATATATTGTAACGACTCTGGTATCAGATTGCATTACCCCTCCAAAGTTTGTTGTTCCTGGTGTTTTTGTTGTATCGTTCTTCTCGTGAGTCTTTCCTGGACCAATTCAATAGATGGTGTGTTTCTTGCAGTGTGTAGCCATGGAGTTCTCTGCTAGCTCTTCTAAGTTGTTGTTTTTATTTTTAACCTGTCTTCCTAGGAGTCACACCTGGGCTGGTATAATTAAGTGGTCAGCCAATGATTAGTCAGAAGATTTAATGCCTTGCCTTTAAATCTTCCACTTTTGCCAGAGGGATCTTTGTGAGAAAGCACACCTTCAAACTAGCACTTTATAAGACAGCCTTAGCTTTCATATGCAGGCATCAAGGTCAATGAGAAATGAGTCACTGGTGATTTCTCTTTTCTCAGATCTTCCTTGGGCCTGTAAACAGGGTGCATGAAACCTTTCAGATCCCCAGGAATATATTGGCAGTTTTCAAAGTTCCTTACAGTCCCAGGATTTCCTTTTAATTCTCAGCCAGTCTCTTGTTTGCCCCATCTGAAATCACAGCCTTCTGCAGCTGAGATACTGCTAGGAATTTGCCATTGTTTTGGCCATTGCCCCTATCCTCACTCTGCCAGGCTGAGCTGATCTCTAAGATCCACATCACTGAGAATAGAGATTTTCCCAGGGAACTGCAAGTTTGGATAAAATATTGACTGCTGAGAAGATGGTACTTTTTAACAAAACACCAAAAGAGACCTCTCCATTGTCTGCAGTCCTGCTGGCTTTTGGCTACTTTGCCCATTGGCTGGGGAGAGAGGTGGAATGGAAATAGCCCCAAGTTTAAGTCTTAAAGAAGTTCAGTAGTTTCTCTTGGGTAGATGATTTGCAGTTCATTCTCTGGCTTTAATTAGTTGTCAGTTCTCAAATGGTTGGTTTTTAGTTATATTTCCTGTGTTTTCATTGTTTCAGCGGAGAGATAGTTCAATGAGGTCCTCTCTACCATTCTGGAAGGTGATCTCCCCATAGTCATGATTTTTCTCATATAATGCAGGGCTGGATTTGATTTACTGGTATTTAGAATTTTTGCCAACCTAAGTGATATTTTTGAATTAGATAACATCTAGTCTTTTTTTGTGCTTTAGAATAGCTTGTATAGCATTTTTTTTGATGGTTTAGTCATTTTTAGGTATGCTATGAAGAGAGGATTCTGTATTCTTTTGTGCTTGGCTTTTTCTACCTGATTTAGTGTAATTTTAAGGATTCTTTTACCAAGTGCAACATCTTCCCTGTCTCTGCCTCAGTGCGACCATGTGCATAAATCTTGTTTAATCTTTGTTAGTATATATAGTAGTACTTTGCAAAATTTTGGCCAAGAATTTTGTCTATGTTTTTTACTGCTTTATCCCCAATGCCTAGAATGGTGCCTATAACATAATGTAATTAACAAGTAAATATTTCTTGAAGGAATGAATAACATTAATCTCTTTGAATATTTCTATGTACTTCTAATCAGTACTTACTTCGATTTCCAATAAGGTCTATCACTTCCCTCTAGGCTTTCATTTTCTTCCTGCACTCTATAACAAAAACTTAGATTGTTTTAATGAATCTATAACACTTTTTACAAGTAAATGTTTATTGAATTGAATCTGAGTTTAGAGCTGATTCTTTTCACTAGTATCAGTATTATTGGTGCCATTTATATATTTTTACATACCTTCTGTTCTAACACTTTGCTTTCTAGGCCATGGACACAGTCATTCCCTTTTTAACGGTGCTCTAGATCAGACACATGGCCATCTAGATCATTGCCATAGTCACGAAGTGAAACACGGTGCTGCACATAGCCATGATCATGCTCATGGACATGGACACTTTCATTCTCATGGTGAGTACCGTCTAAAGACTTTCAAAGTGACAGCCTCCAAATAAACAGGAATTCTATAGGTTATTTTTCCTAGTTGAAATAGTTTATTAAAAGGATACTGCAGTCGACTTCTTTTCTAATGAATCTGTTTCCCAGGGCCCCTTTATTTTTAGAGTATCATGAAATTAACTCAGTATAAGGCAGTGGATATAGCGTTTTTTTTCAGTGAGTATACAATAATAAAATGCCACTATTTTAAATGAGTGTCAGTGAATGAGGAACAATTGCAGTTTAGTAAATCAAAATCATAATATTTTAAGTTGATGAGTGCTTTTGTACTATATAGGCTTATAAAAATATGGTAGGGTCTTTGACTTTTCACATTTTTATTGTAATTTTTTATGTTTATTGCTGATGTTTACCTCTGTGTTTCTTTAGAAATATCTGTATGCTAACTTTTATAGCATTAGATATTTACCAACTTAATCTTTTATTTTAAATTATATTTAAAATAGTTTATCGAGTATAGATTAATAGAAGCTGCATAGGTAACACAATTTAATTAGTCTTTAAACAGAGTATGCTTAAATATTATCTGTATTTGCCACACAGAATGCCAAAGCTTTAGATTTGAAATATGAAAGGGGCCTTGGAAAGTGAGCATTCCAAGCCCCTAATTTTTCAATCTTTAAAATTTTTTTAACTACTTTATTGAGATATGATTGACATATAAAAAGCTGTGCATATTGAATGTATACAATTTGATGAGTTTAGAGATAAGTATACACCCATGAAACTGTCACCACAATTTATGCCATAAACATATCCATTACCACCAAAAGTTTCCTCCTGCCCTCTTTATTTATTTTTATTCTTCTTATTTATTTTTGTGATAAGAGCACTTAACATAAAATATACCCTCTGGGCAAATTTTTAAGTATATGATACATATCAGCTATAGATACGATGCCGTACAGATCCCTAGGGCTTACTTATCTTGCGTAACTGAAACTTTACACCCTTTGACTAATACGTCCCCATTTCCACCTCCCTCCGGCTCCTGGCAGTCACCATTCCTACTCTTCTCTTTCTATGAATTTTACTATTTTAGATTCCTGCTATAGGTGGTATCATGTAGTAATTCTCCTTCTGTGTCTGGCTTCTTTCATTTAGCATATTGTCCTCCAGGTTCATTTATATTGTCCCAAATGGCAGAATTTTCTTTTTTTTTGAAAGGCTGAATAACATTCCATTGTGTGTATATACCACATTTTCTTTATGCATTCATCCGTTGATGGGCATTTAAGTTGCTTCCATGTCTTAGTTAATTGCGAATAATGCTGCAGTGAACATGGAAGTAAGAGATATCTCTTTGAGATCTTGATTTCAATTCCCGTGGATATATACCCAGAAGTGGGATTGTTGGATCATGTGGTAGTTCTGTTTTTATTTTTAGAGGAACCTCCGTAATGTTTTCCATGGTGTCTGCACCAATGTACATTCCCACCAATAGTGTACGGGGTTTCCTTTTCTCCACATCCTTGCCAATGCCTGTTGTCTTTTGTTTTTTTAATAATAGGTATCTTAACAGGTGTCACATGATATCTCATTGTGATCCTCATTTGCATTTCCCTGATGATTGGTGATGTTGAGCACCTTTTCATATAACTGTTGGCCATTCGTATGTCTTCTTTGGAGAAATGTCTATTTAGTTCCTTTGGCCATTTTTAAATCAGGTTATTTGTTTTTTTGCTGTTGTGGGAGTTCTGTGTCTATTTTGGATATTAACACTTTATGAGATACATAGTTTGCAGATATTTTCTGCCATTCCCTAGGGTGCCATTTCATTTTGTTGTTTGTCTCCTTTGCTGTGCAGGAGCCTTTTAATTTGATGTAATCCTACGTGTCTATTTTTGCTTGTTGCCTGTGTCAGTCTCTAAAATTTGCTGTATTTTTGTAATAATTACACTGGTATGCTTTAAAACCTTGCTTTTCCAACTTTTTTGCTCACATGCATCCCAAAATAATTTTGAAAAACTACATATCCCTCACACTTTTGACTATCAGTGGGATTTTCAGGGTAGCTACATCTTCCTTCTGACACAGCAGTACCATATCTGGACAGAAAATATTGTGCAACGTTATGTTTATGCTTTTATTTTTCTTCGTTATATTATTGCAGAGTATTGTTACAATGCTCTATCCAAGCAGTAGTGATAAGGGTGTGTAGATCTTTTTGGTGCTGCGGGCCAAGAACAAATGACTATAGGCGAGTATTCTGTTAGTCATGATCAGAAAGCTTGTCAGTTCTCCTGATGATCCCTTTAAACAAATATTGCTCATGTTTTGCCTTGTTTACCTATATTTTCTGCTTTAATGTTAAAGCTGATTAGTAATCTTCAAAGTATTTAAGTATAGAAATTATAATTTTTTTAAATCTTTTCATCATAAAGGCAAAAGTTTTAAAAAGTATTTTTATTTCTTCTGTACGCAAAGCTTACTACATCCAGCTAGAAGCTATTGAAAACTACTGTTGGCTATAGTCAGGTTATCCTGGATACTGACCTGCCTTCATTTCTTGGACCTCGTATAATTTCAAGCAGTATATTTGTTTTTTTCTGAATTTTCTAGTTGTAAAATATTAGAAGATATTTTATGAATATTAAAAGATTTTCAGTGTTTTTAATTTCCTATGCTCCTCCACTCAATTACTTCATTAAATTTAAAAAATAATTTTGTAGGTCTGATGTGTCTATACAGTCATGCATTTGAATGAAAAGGACTCTGAATTGTAAAAATTTGAATCAGGAATTGAAAACATGTTGTAAAACCATTTAACTTAATTCTCTACAGATGGTCCTTTCTTAAAAGAAACAACAGGACCCAGCAGACAGATTTTACAAGGTATGTCAAGTAATTGTATGCTTCTCACTTTTATGAAATTGGTTTCATAGTTTTGAGTTTTTGAAGTTTTTCTTTAAGAAAAATATATAACATAGTACTTGTGTTTAGAATGTTAGCCTTGTTAGTGTCATGATTATTTTATATGTACTGTTAGATATGTGAGCAGATGTTCTTTTGTCACTTGGCTATTTTCTTAGATGTAATAAGAAACACAAAATATTCAGAAACTATACTGCTTAAATATAAGTAACACCCATGCCTATGACTATAGCAACACTATACAGATGCTTCTTGACTTACAATGAGGTTAAATCCTGATAAACCCATGATAAATTGAAAATATTGTAAGTCAAAAATACACTTAATACACTTAGCCTACTGAACATCATAGCTTAGCCAGCCTACCTTAAATGTGCTCAGAACACTTACATTAGCTTACAGTTGGACAAGATCATCTTACACAAAGCCTATTTTATAATAAAGTGTCAAGTAATATCTCATGCAATTTATTGAATACAGTACACTGTAGAGCACAGTATCAGTTGTTTTCCCTTGTGATCACGTGGCTGACTGAGAGCTATGGCTTGCTGCTGCTGCCCAGCATCACAAGAGAGCATCATACCACATTATCACTAGCCTGGGAAAAGATCAAAATTCAAAGTACAGTTTCTCCTGAACGCATATTGGTTTCACACTATCATAAAGTCAAAAAGTTGTAAAGTCGATTCATTGTTAAGTTGAGGACTGCCTGTAGTATTTTGTCTGCCTTCATAGGATTATTACATAGTTTTTCCAAGAATAAGACAATATGTTTTCGTGTTGTGGGAAAATGTAGAGCTAAAAAATGTAATGCAAAGTGAAAACTCCATTATATTTATAGGTTTTGGAGTCAATAGATGATACCGAAACAGGGGCTTACATATTGTATAAAATGATGTCTATTACAAAGTTTTCTAAGCCAGAGAAAATGAATCTTGTCTTTGAACTATTGTGGTTTCCTTTTTTGGGATGTGAACCAATCTTTGGCTCCAAGTTTCCATTTAGACTTTATTGTCAAGGTTTCCTAATTCCCAGCTCCCTGTCTTCTACCTTTGTTAACTTTTGACTTCAATCTGACTTTCTCAGTGGCTTCTGATCCAATTTCTACTGCACCTGTTTTTCTCCACTATTCCTTGATACAACTCTTGATTCTTACTTTTTCACCATGAATATGTTCCTCCATACTGAGGAATTTATTTTCAGAAGGCTTAAATGTGTCTTCCAGACACTGATTTTTCATTTACAAAATACATAGAATTGTTTTAGAACATTTGCTGAAATAGTTTATAATCATGCATATTTGATGCGTCTCTATCAACTGCTGTTAACTAGCTTTGATAATAAGAATTTATTTTTAGTTTTGAAAATCATCACAAGTTGGAGGAAAGTAAGTTAGATTTGCTTTCCTGTGAAAATAAGTTTATATTTTCTAAATATCCATCAATTTGTGGTGGCTGAAGCAGCCCAGTAGATAGGTGAAGGATAGAGATAACTGCCTAGTATTAAAACCTTCCTGCAGAACGACCATGTAGATACTCACACATGAAAAACTATGAGTTAACTGAATTTTTCAATTATTTACTACATCTTGAGTATGACCCCTGGCTGACTGAGTTCTTGGGGAGTTAGATTATCAGTATTCTATCAAGTCTTCTAAGGCTTTTAACTTTATATAGGTTAAATATATTAATTTATATTTCTTTCTTCAGTAATTTTTCTTCTCAAACAGTTACTATAAAGGAAGGACTTACATAGTTAATGACACTTGCTACTAAAACCAATTTTCAGGTTGACAGATAACATGTAGCCAGGGACTTTCCAACTTAAGGAAAATCAAGAACATATGATTTTTTTTCTCCTTTCAATGTTTATAGCTATTTGCATTTCCGATTCTACCAAAACACTGATTAAATAATATACAGATATGAAAGCATATATCACATATAAGAGTTTGTCGTTTAAGGACCTTCAATACACTTTAATGTGAATTTTTTTCCAGTTTTATTTTTAAAAGTTAAAGTGCCCCAACATTATTGATCTATTCAATTCTTTGCTATTGGAAATACCTTAGACCAACTGAATATTCTATAAGTATGCTCTGACAAAATATTTTTATTTTGGTAAAGTTTTCGTTGAGAGAGCCATTGGCTTATTGAAGAATGATTGTAATAAGTCAAAACTCTATGTAAATGAAAAAAATATATGTAGGTAGTGAGGGATGAGTTACATTTGGTATAATATTTGATACGTAATTGTACAGTAGATGAATTTAAGTATCAGATACTAGAATGCAGGATTTGATTGGGCTCATTAATAGTTTTTAAATTACTAGAAAAGTTTTTTTGTTTAAGTAAATCTGTATTTCTATGCCTAAAAATAATTATAGTTTACCTTTTATTGTCCAGTAAATAATAAAAAAGAAAAAAATAAGTATTTCTAAAGTACTTAAATGCTTTTTACACACTAGTTATTTATTTTCAGATAGGGTAGTTGATGTTAGAAGAATATTCTATTTTTAGCAAGGTATGGTTAAAGTTTGAGAGACAATGTTTTGCTGTATAGTAAATTTTACCTATTGAAGATCTAAATGCCTAATAATTTATTGTCTTAGTTGAGTCTCTTCAGAAAATATAGTGCATGAAACTTAGTTCTTGACACTTAATGATGTTTCAAGCAAGTGTCACTTGTTAAAAATTAATATTACATCTAGGTTCTTAGGCAGTTAGAATATCAGTATCCTAACAATTTAATCTTTAATTATTAAAAGGTTAACGTATTTTAATATTTATTTAAAAATATTCAGATCCCTGCTTTCTTTTACATTGAATTTGAGTGTGGTATGTAACTTATTTAGGTAATAAAACCTTACCTTAGGGTAATTAATAATTATATCAGGATAGAATTTCATGGTCCATAGAAAATTCTAGTCCCAAATGGTATTAATTTTAATCACCAGCAGAGGGCTCTGTATGTACATGTATTTGTGGTTACAATGTTTTCTTGACCAGTTGTTTTATCTAATGCAGTCTCCTTCCCCTAACAAATTATTGATTAACTTTTGGACTCTTTTAGTTAGAGATGAATGTTTGCAGTTTTTGAAATCAATTTGTTTCTCTACTTCTTCATTTATATTATATCATGAAGAGCAAGTATAATTTACTAGTCAGGTATTTTAACCCCTGTTGATTTGAAAAAGAAAAGATTATTCAGATTATAAATGTACTGTTTCATATTTACTAAACAGTAAATATACATGCTTACTGGTTTTTCAATTTAATATTTAGTTTTTAATATAAAACTAAGTATAGTTCTAAGAAATATTTGTACTTTAACCAGAAGATATGATTTTCATTCTTATTATGTTTTATTTCTAGGTGTATTTTTACACATTCTAGCAGATACACTTGGGAGCATTGGTGTAATTGCCTCTGCCATCATGATGCAAAATTTTGGCCTAATGATAGCAGATCCTATCTGTTCGATCCTTATAGCCATGCTTATAGTTATAAGGTAAGTGTTATGTTACTTTCAAATATTAAAATGAAAGATAGGTGATAAATATGTTTTTTAAATTACAGGTCTAAAATACAAATTATTATATTGCTTTTCCTTTGGTATTTCAGAAATTCCTATATAGATTCTTTTTTCATCTTCGTATTTTTTCTGCATTTGCCATTTCTTTCTTGCCTAGAATTTGATGTTTCTTTTTGGTATTTGGCAATTAAACTTTTTAGTCATAATTCAAATCAGTAGTAATTTTCTTGAATCCAACACTATCTATACAGTAAAATATTAGAAGTATAAAATGTATTAACTATAGGTAGAATATTATTCTTTTGACATCTATATTTTGCATTATCAAATGCAAAAGAATGTCAAAATCTTTTCTAGTAGAACTTTTTAATTATAAAATCACATTATTATTGCAGAAATCTTATAAAACTGCTTACTGAAATAAATTTATGTCTGTCGCCCTGTTTTGATTATAAAGTTCTTGAGGAAGCATCTGCCTCTTAGCTCTTTACCTTTCTATTGCCTATCATAGTGCCAATGTATATGTAAAGGTATATATGTGTGTAGGTGTATAAATTCTCAGTAAATTTTTGCTTATTAGACTGTATAGTTATTATCTCTTAAGTATTATACCCTGAGATGTGTTTTATTATTGATTTAATTTTTATCAGAATAATAAAGGAACCAATATGTTCCTTTATTTTAAAGTCTTTAGTTACTTAAAATTTTTCAAATACACTGCATATGTCTTGAGTGGACTATTTTTATGTATTTTTCTGCATGATTTTACTGTCAGTAAAACTTTAGTTGTAATGATAACAAAGACCCACTAGAGGTCAGACTATGGTGATTTTTATAGTTTGTAGTTGACTGAAGTAGATTTAATGGATTATGATGAAATTGTAACGTTGAAATTAATCATAAACAGAGATTTTTTCAGTTTCTGCCTAAAAAGTGGGGTATATATTTTAAACATGCCAATTATTTTTTAATTTTTTCAAATAATTTGTGTAAGGAAGTAACTCTGCTATATAAGTCTTACGTAAAGTTTGGAATACCATTTCTTCTTTGGAAATTTTACCATACTTCCTTGAAAGTTCAGCTTAGATCTCCCATATTCTATGAAACTTAACTTTTGATAGATTTGTTCACTCTTAGAACTATAACTATTTGTGTTTTCAGTGTTCATTTCATTTTGTTAATGTATTATAATTCTTAGTTACTTCTCACAATTCTTAGAGTAGGATCTTAGTATTTACTTTTCTTTGTCTCCACTATTAGTATTCTAATCTGGCTACTATTATGTCTTGCCTGGAAAACTATAACAATCTCCAAGTTGATTTGTCTCCCTCTAAACTCTTTACACTAGCTAACATTATCTTTCTTTAATAAGGATTATGTTACATATAAAAATTATTTTGCTTTAAATCCTTCAGTGACTCTTACCCTCAGGATCAAGTGCAAACTCCTAAATAGGACTTCATGATATTACCCCTGTTGACCTCTTCAGTCTCTCTCCCAATACTTCTCAATTCATACTTTGCTCCCCAGCCATGGTAAATTATGGTCAGTTTCCTAAATATGTTATGAGTTCTCTGGATTCTAGGTTTTGCTCACATTGTCTCTATACAAAATACTCATACACTTTGCACGTTCCTCCCCACACCCCCACCCCTTCCCCATCAACACACACTTGTGTATGTATCACTACTCATCTTCAGATCAGATTCCATTTAAATGCCACTTTTTCAGGAAGCATTTCCTGATTCTCCACCTCCCAGGCTGGGTTAAATGTACCTATAGCACCTTCTGCTACAGTACCCTTTCATGGCATTTACTTACTACATTGAAATAGCCTGTTTTATTTTCTCTCTCAAGCTCCGTAAGGGCAAACTATTTTTTCATTGTTGTGAAGTCAGCACCTAATTCTGCCTGGCAAAAAAGTTGGTATATCAAATGAAGTCATGTTTTTTTCAACGTCAGAATTACTTTCTCTAATTCCAAACAGGGAATTCTTACTTAGTTCGATTCTCATTCATTTTTTCCCACCAATATAAGTAAATAAATAAACAAACAAACATAAAGAAAACTTTTCATTTACTTAATGTAACACACGTTTAAAAAACTGCACAAATCATCTTCACCAAATATTTATTAAGTAGGCCCTCTCACCAGGGTGGTGAAAAAGACAGGATCCCTACTGTTTTGATTCTATATTGTAATAGGGGAGAGAGACAACAAATTAGTAAATAAACCACTCAAATATCAAATAGTTATTAATATTTTACAGAGTTAAGATAGGATTATGTGATAGTGACTGAGTTGCCACTTTAAATTGAGTGGTAAGGGAAGACTTCTGAAGAGGGGGCCTTTACGCTGAGATCTGAATGTCACAGGAGAGCTTGTCAGAGGAAGAGCATTTTAGTCTAGAGAGCAACTAATATAAAAGCCATTTGGTGCAGATAGCTTTGGCACTGAAAGGAGGCCAGTATGGCTGAAGCATAAGGAGTAAGAGAATAATGGTTTGAGATAAAGTTCGAGAAATCCGCTTGGGAAAATTGCCCAGGATTAGGAGTTTGGATTTTATTCCAAGTGCAGTGGGAACATTAAGGGTGTGATGTTATTTGGTTTATATTTTTAGAAGTGATTTTGGCTGCTGTGTGGGTAATATTAATAGATTAATAGGGGGCATGAGTGCAAACAGGCAGACCAACTAGGAAGCTAGTTAGACTAGGTGAGAGGCCATGGTGGCTTGGTCTAAGATACTAATCTTAGAGACGGAGAGAAGCAGATAAAATTAGAAAATGCTTTGGGATAGAGCTAACAAGATTTGCTCGTGGATATGAATGTATGGGTCAGGGTTGGAGTGAAAAAAGGCAATCAAGGCTGAATCCTAGAGTTTTTACCTGGGCAACTGAGTCAATGAAGGCATTGTTACTGGAAGAGACAAGTCTGGGAGAAGAATAATGATTTTGTCTGCTCTTGGAGGATACTGCAGATGAAAAGTTCTGTTTTGGTTGTGGTAAGTTTGAGATCTCTCATTAGTCATTTATATGGAGATTTCGAATATTAATAGGTAAAGAATATATACATATGGGATTCTTGGGAGCAGTCAGTTGAACATAAAGGGTCGAAAATAGTCCACATGTAAGTTTTTTTTTTTTTTTGGAGACTGGGTCTCACTCTTGCCTGAGCTGGTCTAGAATTCCCCCTCACGCGATCCTGCCGCCTCAGCCTCCCAAAGTGCTAAGATTACAGGCATGAGCCACTGTGCCCAGCCCCACATGTAGACTTAAAGTCATGGAGTGGGAATCATCTCTCCAGCATTCCTACTCCTTCCATTTTCCTGGAAAATATCCCTCCATATGGTAGTCCTTCCTGCTAAAACTGATTTAGCTTCAGAGTCCCTTTCACTATAGTGCTTCAGGCAGCCACAACTAGCCAACTACAGTCAGCTTCCAAGGTGAAACCTATTTGTCATCCTTGTCTAGGTCCTACTGACCTATTTATAAGACTTTTTTCAGTAGCTTATAGAAATATATGGTTTTAGGTCATATAATTGGATTCCTTTTTATTATTGTTAAGCTTTAATATTTTTATTATTTGCTCTTTTTTTCCTGATAACCAAAGTAATACATGCTGATTATAAAAATTTCAAACATTACTGAAATGTATAATTTATGTATTGAAATGTTCTCATAATCTCACCCTTTGGAGATAACAGAAAACTTTAATGTATCTTAAAAATATTTAAAATCATTTAAAATCAAATGCTTTAGTGCCCATTCTATGCCAGGCAATAAACAACATAGGCAAATACCCTATCCTCATGGAGCTTTTATTTTAATGGGAGAGACAAATGAATATGCAAATAGATAGTGTAATATCAATTGGTAAAAAGTGCTATACAGTGAGGTAAGGAGATACTATTTTAGAAGGGCTTGGAAAATCTTCTGTGTAAGGTGACATTTGAGCAGAGACTTGAATGATGAAGGGGAGGGGCATGGGACTGTTAGAGGAAGAGCATCCCTGTCAGAGGGAACTTCGAGTGTAAACACTTGCGGCAGAGAACATACCTGACGTGTTTGAGGAACAGCAAGAAAGGCAGTGTAGCTGGAGTACAATGAACAGGGCAGAGTGATAGACATGTAATTATGTATCTACCTCTCTAAAGTTCAGGGAACAGGTTGGGGTGGAAGATACAAATCTGGGTGTCATCAACTTACATATGTTATTTAAAGCTGTGAGATTGGGTGAGTTTGCCCAGAGAATGAATACTGATAGAGGAGAAGAAGCCTGAGGACTGAGCCCTGGAGGAGGTCAGGAGGAAATACAGCAAAGAAAAGGGTAAAGTGGAATGGCCAGGGAAGTGGGAAGAAAGACACAACACAAGCACGTATTCTTTTAGAATCCATGTAGAGAAAGTGTCTCAAACAGAAGGAATAATCAATCTTGTTAAACGTTACTTGGACTGATAATCAGTAACTTAGACCAGACGCTCCAAAGAGGGACGAGAATGAAAGCCTGATGAGAGTAGCTTCTTGCGTGTATGGGAGGGGAGGAAATGGTAATAGCAACCACTGTCAACTCGCTTTCAAAGCCTTTGCTATAAAGGGGAGCAATGTGATTGCCTGGCAACATTGAGGGCCCACTTTGAGGTTTGTGGTCATGAATTTAAAGTGAAAACAACCAACACAGTTGTATGTTTTTCTTCAGTCTTGTTCAGCTACTTGGTAAAAGGTATGGAATAGACAGAGAGTTAGATTTAACAGGTTTGGGGTTTTGTCAGGTGAGTACTGACTATGAGAAAGGAACAAGGCAGAAAAAGTTAGATTTAATGGTAATGATACATGCTCACCAAAAAAAGTGATAGGGTCAGTGGATTGGAACTTCTGAAGAAGTATTAGAGTGGAAGTATTAGGGGAAGTGATCCAGAAACAGGAAGGGTTCTGCAGATTGTGAGATGCTTGACGTTAAGATCTTAGGTCGAAGGTATG